TATATTGGTTATTTATTCTCCAGGTGCACAGGTTTATATTGTTAAAACACTTTTCAGTACAGTATTTTATTGTTTATCTTTTAACTCTTCACTAGTATGTAAATATTTTCTAAGGTCCTTATTTGTGTGACCATTTTTTTCTATTATCTCTATTGCTGTAAACACCAGAATTTACCCATTCTGGGTCAATAAAGGGATTTTCTATTCTAGTTCACTATGTCAACATCATTAATATATAAATGAAAGGCTATATATGTTAACTTTAGTTAGGAGGTGAATAGATGATCCAAGCTTTGTGGTAATCAGGTAATCATTTTAGTGCTTCAGAGAAAAAAAAAATTAGATTAGATTAAAACCTATTTAAACATCACATTTATATCCTGCTTTTTTATCCGGGATACAATTATTAACTATTAGCAGCTGTGTGGATGAGTTTTACTGTGGGATTACGGAGCAGTACCTCCAGCAGCACTGTGTTGTTTTGGTAAATATACACAGAAGAGCCTTATTTACTAACAAGATAAGCCAAAACAAAGCGCAAAATACAAAAATAACAAATAGTGCGGCAGTGTGATGCGGTAACCTTTAGAAAAACTGTATGCAGCCGCAGTCGGCTACTGGCATATTCATTTAAGATGTCGTATGACGCGAGTATGCACATTTAAAACAGTTGTCTGTGAGGCAACTAACTGCAGCTTTAACTGAGTAGATAAACCAAATTATCCAGCTAATACCAGCTCATTATACTCCTACTGTTACTCTATACCAGGACAGACTGGGAATAAAGTATTCAAACTTTTCCCAACTTGTTCAGGCAGAGTGAGTGTCTCCTACCTGCTCTACCCTAAAAGACACCATCTGAGCTGGAAGCTTTGTGCCTCTTTAGTGAGACTCAAACGTGGTCAGAAATGGCTGCTTGTCATCTCAGTGTGACTTGGTAACGAAGTGAAGGAGACTCGGAGGTGGTCACCGAGCCGGGTTCACCACTAGGTGTGAAGTGTGGGAAATGGCGTGAACATGGCACTATTCTATCTAACGGTATTGCTGTCATCCGCAGCGTCTGTAATGCCAGCTGCAGTTGTTGTAGCGCAGTGTGTCAGGGAGACGTTCAAACCTCGCCTCTGCATGCTGGGACTATTTTGACTCTGTTGAAAATCAAAGGGGTTCATTTTGCTTTCCACTTTCTTTTTTTATGTGACTAAATAAAAAATGTTAGCGCTCTCATGAGTCTTTCTGGATTTGTTGACCCATACACTGCAAAAATGATCTCAAAATGAGTAAAAATGTCTTAAGTTAAGGGTATTTACCCTTAATTTGAGCAGGTAAATAAGGTGATATGCCAATGGAATTAGTATTTTTACTCTTAAAATAAGGTATCTAGATAAAATGCCCTTGAAATAAGACAGTGCAATTGTTTTTTCTTATTTTAAGTGTAAATTGTCTCGTTCCATTGGCAAAGGGTCTCACTTAAATCCTTAATTCAAGAAAAAATGCACTTATTTTAAGAAGAAATTACTTATTTGGATTTCATTTTTTGCAGTGTATAAATTGGGTTTCTTGTTTAAAGACTAATTGGTATATTTTTTTCCACACATAATGCTGTTCTTTTTTCACAATGAAGAGTTTGTGACTTTTAGAATCGTGGGATATGGAAAAAGTTCTTTTGAAGAGCAAAACTATGATTTAACACCAACAACAGAAGTGTTTATTTTATTGAGAAAGGCTTTTTTTGTGCATATTTTCTCTCCATAAACTGAAATGGCATATGTGAAAGCTGGAAACTGGAGATATATGGAGTGAATTTTGTTCCGTTATTATTTCAAGCAAAGACCACATTCTTTTTATATGGAAATAAAAAACAAATCAATCCAGAAATAAAAATTTTGAAATAAAATAATTAAAATGGGGTTTTTATTAAGTAGCTTGACTGTTTTTCTCAGATTTAAATTTTCAAATAAATTTTAAATTTTCAACTTGGGGATTGCTGTCCGGTGTTGCTGCTTTTTAAAAATGAAATGTTTAGTTTTTTGTTTAAAATGAAACTTGTGTAACATTTGTTATCATTGTGTTGCTTTGATCGAGTAAACGGAGGAAGAAAACACAACATTAGCAATAAGAAGCCAGCAGAAGGGCAGCAAGTATGGAGGATCAGTTGGACTTAAAAGCCTCTGTTCTCTAGTTGTCTTTTGCTTAACTTTTTGTTGTGGCGGTTCTTTTTAATGGTCTGCTCTTTCATATGGGTGTGTTGTTCATGCATGCTTGGCAACAGGCACCAAGAGATTATTTGTGGATGCAGAGGGCTTTAGGGCAAAGATAACCACTCTAACCACGTCGCCAAATTTAGCTTTTGAAGATGGACACTAGATAACTGGTCAGTGGTCTCACTGCTGTTCAGAGTTTAGTGGAACTGGGGACTGTTTCCCTTCTGGTCCAACACTAGAGTATTATTTGGCCATGAGCTGACGTGGCTTTGCTTAGCCGTCCTTGAACAGTAGATTGAAACCACTAACTTGTAGCTGACCAGTGCCCTATGTGTGGCCTGGTGTCTTTTATTAGGAGAGGCGGCCTGAGCCTGGGGGTTGGGGGAGGCATTATGGGACGAGAATTGGTCTGGCCTTTTTTTTTTTTTTTGTTTCCTCTCTTTTATCTTTCCTGTCATTATGTCAGCTCTGCAGTATTTAATGACGGCTCATCTCTTCAGGCAGTTTCAGGTTGCAGCACTGTGTGGGGGGGAGGGGATCGGTGCAGGCAGAGAAGTGTTTTTGTTTTTTTTGATGTTATTGTCTTCAAGGGGGCCAGAATCGGCCCTGACAGATGCCTGAAATACCGAGTATCTAAAATAATACCGGAGGTCGTTTATAATGTCCTGAAAGACAAAGGAGGGATAGAATGACCTGCTGAAGAGAGATTTCTATACTTTAAACTCTACTTTAATGTGTGGGTGTGTGTTTCATGTAACGCGTCTCATTGGATGGTGAGTTTTATCTGAAGCACTTGGTGGATGAGTGCTGTTCAGAGATATTTCCATGGTGCTAAGTCTAGAAAACCTTATTTAGATTGGGTATAAGTTGTTATCATGAACAATTGAGGGATTTAAATTGGTGTCATCTATTAAACAGGACAAAGTTTTTTAAACAAAGGCATTAATGTGTTTATGAGGCGATTTTTCAACTTTTCCTTTTAAATTTGCGAAAGCAGAGAGAGTAATCAGTGAAAAATGATTAAAATATATTTGTAATGGAGGGGGAAAAAAAAAAAAAGATGTCTTCCAAAGATAGAATTAGCAATGCCAGTCAGTAACTTCAATCTTTAATCTCAAAAAGTGACAATTTATGTGATTATTTCTGCAGTCAGAAGGAGGAGGTGGTCAGGAGGAATGGCTTTGAAAGGTTACAAACCAGCAACCTATGGAGGGATTTAAAGGTGCTTCTTCAAAAACTGTGATTTAAAATGATAAAATTCTACAAATTCAACCGGAAATAATTCCTGTTTTATTGTTACTCTATTTACAGAGCAAGCAAATGCAGCAAAAATC